GAGCTGAGGGGCGCCTGGGTGGCTCAGTCGGTTAAGCGTCCGACTTCGGCTCGGGTCATGATCTCACAGTCCGTGAGTTCGAGCCCCGCGTCGGGCTCTGTGCTGACAGCTCAGAGCCTGGAGCCTGCTTCGGATTCTGTGTCTCCCTCTCTCTCTGCCCCTCCCCGCATTCATGCTCTGTCTCTCTCTGTCTCAAAAATAAATAAACATTTAAAAAAATTAAAAAAAAAAAAAGAAATGAGCTGAGTGTTCATAAGACAGCATAGAAAAAACCCAAAGAACCAATAGGTTAGCAAATAATCGAAAGAGGGGTGGAAATCAAGGAGGATACGGGGAACAGCAAAAATGTTGAGATAATTCTCTCAACCAAATATTAGCTCTCTTAAAAAGATTAATGAAAGGCAAATAATAAAGACAAAGACACAAGAACATTAATTTTAAAAGGCAGAAACAGGGCGCCTGCGTGGCTAGTCGGTTAAGCATCAGACTCCTGATTTCAGCTCATGATTGCAGCTCAGGTCATGATCTCACGGTTCGCAAGTTCAAGCTCTACTTGATCAGAATGTATCCTTTTGGTTTTTATTTATTTTTTTAAGCTTATTCATTCATTTTGAGAGAGAGAGAGAGAAAGAGACAGAACTAGCAGGGGAGGGACAGAGAGAAGGGGGTCAGAGGATCCTAAGCAGGCTCTGTGCTGGGAGCAGAGAGCTCGATGTGGGGCTCGAACCCACAAACCTCGAGATCATGACCTGAGCAGAAGTTGGGCACTTAACCAACTGAGCCACCCACGCGCCCCAGGATGTATCATTTTAAGACACACGGTTGGATTTGGTTAGCTTATATTTAATTTTTTTTCTCATCCATATGCAAATTGAAACCAGTCTATAGTTGTCATATTCTATCATTATCCAGACTTCAAAAAATAAATCGAACTTCAAAAATAAATTGCAGCTTCCTGCCTTTCTCCTTCTTTCTAGAAGAATTTGTATAAGCAAGAATTATCTGTTGCTTGAGAGTTTCGTCACAACATTTTTCAGATTCTTATTTAAATATCTTTAATGATTGTAATCCATTCAAATTTTGTGTTTCATGTAGCGACCTTATGTATGTTTTCCCATTTATTGGATACATTTGTTTTACTATTTTTATGATTAAAAAGAATTCTATTATAGTTGTTTGCTCTTTTATTTCTGTATTTTTTTTTATTTTATTTTAATGTTTGTTTATTTTGAGAGAGGGAGCATGTGCACATGAGAAGGAAGGGCAGAGGGAGAGGGAGAGAAGAATCCAAGCGTGACTTTTTAGTCTTCCACGTCCCAAGCTCAGAATTCCAGACTTTAGATTCCAGACCCCATGATTACAGACTCAGATCTGTGACTCCAGGCCTCACAATTCTGCCTTGGGATGGCAGACCCAGCATGTCAGATCTGTGTTCCAGAATCCAGCCCCACAGCACTGAAGCCAAGCCTCACAGCTTAACTCCAAATCCCAGATTCTGGACTCCAGAATCCAAGCTTTGGGTCTAGAACTCTCACACGCTAGGCTTCAGGTGAGGTTTGCAAACATGTTCATCTTAGAACACCTTAACACACTTAAAATTTTTGTTTATGTGGATTGTATGTACCAATATTTATCATACTAGGAATTAAAATGGAGACATCTTTAAAATATTTATTCATTTAGAAAAATTTTTTCAATGTTTATTTATTTTTGAGAGACAGAGCATGAGTGGGGGAGGGGCAGAGAGAGAGGGAGACACTGAATCCGAAGCAGGCTCCGGGCTCTGAGCTGTCAGCACAGAGCCCGACGCAGGGCTCGGTCCGCCGAACCAGGTCAGACGCTTAACCGACTGAGCCACCCAAATGCCCTTCATTGATTCATTTTAAAACAATAACAGGGGCGCCTGCGTGGCTCAGTCGGTTAAGCGTCTGACTTCCGCTCAGGTCATGATCTCACGGTCGGTGAGTTGGAGCCCCGCGTCGGGCTCTGTGCTGACAGCTCAGAGCCCGGAGCCTGCTTCGGATTCTGTGTCTCCCTCTCTCTCTGCCCCTCCCCGCATTCATGCTCTGTCTCTCTCTGTCTCAAAAATAAACATGAAAAATTTTTTTAATAAAAATTAAAAAATAACACAATAACAAATATATGTCAATATAAATAATGTATCTTAATGAAAAATAACTCTATTTTCTGAGACCAAAAAACTATTGAGAAGATAACAATGTTTTTACATTTTTGCAAGTTTCTTTAAAATGTGGTGGGGCGCCTGGGTGGCGCAGTCGGTTAAGCGTCCGGCTTCAGCCAGGTCACGATCTCGCGGTCCATGAGTTCGAGCCCCGCGTCAGGCTCTGGGCTGATGGCTCGGAGCCTGGAGCCTGTTTCCGATTCTATGTCTCCCTCTCTCTGCCCCTCCCCTGTTCATGCTCTGTCTCTCTCTGTCCCAAAAATAAATAAACGTTGAAAAAAAAAATTTTTTT